CCATCATGGGCCTCATGCCGCTCACCAAGGAGGTGGCCAAGGGCAGCATCGGGCGCGGTGTGCTTCCCGCCGTGGAACTGGCCATCGAGCAGATCCGCAACGAGTCGCTCCTGCGCCCCTACTTCCTTGACCTGCGGCTCTACGACACCGAGGTGAGTGTCCAGCCGCCCTCGCTGTCGGGGCTGTGGGACGATGGGGATGGGAGTGTTGGACAGAGGAAAGCTTTGGTCTTGGACAGAGCCCCGACTGACCCGCCAGCGCCTGGGGAGGGACCGCGGACAGGTGCTCATTGCTCACCCCCGGGGTCCCGCCGGGCTTGGCCGGCTGTCACCCCTCTGTACCAAGATTTGCTGGGCATCTCCCTCCTCTGGGAGTGTGTGTGTGTGTGTGTGTGTGTGTGTGTGTGTGACTAGGTCTTTGGCCAGAGAGAGGAGTGGAGAAGGTGGGGACTGGCCCCCCAAAGGCCTGCAGTGGGTGCCCCTGCCCGGATACAGCTGGTGGGCTATGAAGTGCGTCGTGGGAGGAAGAGACGTATGTATTGACTGCAAACTGGGCCACCCGGGACCAACGTGGCCACGGGCCTGTTAGAGGGCCCCCAGGAAGGCCAAGCCGCTTGGAGGTCAGGAGGCTCCAGGACCCGAGGGGCCAGAGCGCGCTGCAAGGCTGGGCGCAAGGTGCGCGCCAGCGGCTCGGAGCCCGAACCGCGCTGGCAGGTGTCGGGCCGCCGGCTCTGCAGCGCTCTGCCTGGATGTGTCCGGCGCTGCCAGTAGCCTGAGCGGTTCCATGAGGAAATCTTCTTCCTGCACCCCAATTTAGTTACTCAGAGTGCCCCGAGCAGGTCTCGCTCTGGGTGCTCTGGGTGTCCGATCGCGTTGCTGCCTCGGCTCGGCGGCTGCAGGTGCGTTTCTCCGGGTGCGGAGTTGAAGCTCGGACTTGCCGCCTCAGCTGGCTTGCCCATCTGGCCTCTACCGAGCGTAGTCGGAACCAAAGAGCCCAGCGCTTCGCATCTCAAGTTCCTTGCGCGCGCCCTCGGCTTGGGTTTCGGCTGAAGCCCCAGAGCGGACCTTCACCGCCAGCCCGGGAGCTGGTTGCACGGAGGGGGAATAGAGAAACGATCGCTGGCGGCGCCAGGTCGGGTTTTGCGAGTTTTTCCGGACCGAGGAAGCCCCTGACGCACCGGCTGTGGCGACTGAGACGCGGCCGGAAGGGGGCAGTGATTTCCTTTGCAGTAAGCTCGGCTGGAGCCTCTTCCACCGCGCCAAACTCGGCCGAGACGCTGGGCTCGACTCTGGCTTCCCGGGGCTCCCGGGCGCTTCTGCTGGAGCCCAGGTGCAGACTCCTTCCGAGGGGGAGGGTCGCGCTGTCACCTTAATCGTGCAACCCGCCTTCTGCTTCCTTCTCAGTCTGACCCGAATTCCTCCCCCCACCCCAGTCCCCCGCCTTTTTTTGGTCCCCCAGAAATCTCCATTGCATCTTACTCCCCGCCTCCCCCTTCACTGATGAACCAGCCTGCTCTGCGCTGTAAATAAAAGGTGAAGAACGGGTGGCAGTTGGTGGCAGTGCACGCAGGCTGCTGCAAGCAGACAGGCTTCCTCAGCTCCAGGAGGATGCAAGCTGGGTGACAGAGCTAATCCGGGTGTGGAATCACTTCTGAATGAAATGCCTAGCGCCCTCATCTCGCCTGTACCTTGGAGTTCTCTGGCGTAGTCGCCAGGCACCCATAAATGGGGAGGGCAACGCAGTTATCCCGGGGCAGGTCTCTCAGCACGGTGTCTGTATGGCTTCGGTACACAGCCTTCTGGAAGGCACACACAGAGCCGGTGTTTTGGGGACAAGTCGTTTGTAGACAGGGTGGCCCTGCTGGCATCCTCACCAGTACTGTCAGCTGCACGATGATTTCCTCATCTATCTCGCCCCTTTGGAAGGCTCCGTGAAAGAGATTTCATGAGCGTCATATGAGCTTCTCGTGGCAGCACAGGGTGGGTGCTTGGTTTCAGGGTGTGGGTTGAAGCTTTTACATTTTGTTTTTCAAGTGTGTTTTGATGACTTTCTGAGTGAGAGGCCCAATGTCGAGAGGATGAGGCAGTCAGAGGCTCTTCAGTTATGGGCATAAGCAGTGGGAAGGAGGGCAGAGGGATAACTGGGCACCCAGCTGTAGCCATTTGAAGAGGAGCAGCACAGGTGTTTTGGGGTGGGTTGGACCCGCGTTCTAATGAGAAACTAGTTATGGCCCCACTGGGTGACCTTGAACTCAGTATTCAAGCTTTCCGAGCCTAGATTTACACATCTGAAAAAGTGGGACTGTCATGTGTCCTCTGCCGGGTGGTGATGCCTGCTCCAGGGAGGTGGAAAAGCTGCGATGGAAAAAGCCTTGAGCCATCGCAGGCGCAAGGGCCAGCCCGCTGTCCGACATTCCTGGAGCACGAAACATGTTTCCTGCCTCCCTTCCTTATTTGCATCTGGCGCGGTTTCGGAAGTAAGGCATTGCAACTTTAGATGTGATCGAATGGTCACAACTAAACTATGAAGGAAGACTGCTTATTTATTTTCCTTGCTTTTGAAATTCGCTGAAGAGTCAGAGAAGTAATCACCAGAAGAAAAAAAAAAAAGGAATTCTGACTTAAAGCAAATAAGTGTTATGTCCTGCCATGAGGTGTCACGTTTCCGAGAATCCCCAGGTGATATAACACTTAATTTTTTTTCAGGCCTGCGTTTAGCGTTGAGGTACTTTCTCTCTGAGCTGAAGGAAAAGGAGGGTCAGTGTGTGTAACTGCAGCAAAATCCGCAGCCATCTGAAGGGTGTTTGGGCCTGTGTTAGGATGTGCTGTCTTTGTGGATTATGTGTATTCCCTTGCCACTTGCTGGCTGTGTCATTTATTGTCTGTAGACACAAACAGGCGATGAATAGGGTGAAAGGATTTGGGTTGGCATTGTTCATATTTGTTGTCAGTCAATGGCCAGAGACTGCGTGCAGCCAGGATGGACCTTTGTCCACAGTCTTTAGGCGTTGGAGATGTAGCAAGGAGTGGGGAGATCTAATCATGGGAACAGCCTGTCTTAATGCAGGAGCCTCCTGTATTTATCCACGCTGGCCCCTAGTATAATTGGAAGAACCACAAAGCTCACTCACTCAGCGGCATGTGCTTGTAAAAATGAAACGTCCCAGCAAAGTATCTACTAGTCAGGTTGCTTTTCTCTGGTGTACTTCACTCAGCAAATATTCCTTTATATGTATCCCAAGGAGAATTGGAGTAAATAAAAACACATGCATGACAACCAAAAATACAGGTAAAAGAAAGTGTCAGAAACCATGCAGACCCATGGGAGTTCTTGAACCAGTAACCTGGGCTAAGACGGTTATTGCATTCTTGACCGTTAAATTTTAGATCAGAGCTTCCTGGCAGTCAAGGTAAAAAGGTAAACATGATAAGTTATATTACATGTTTGACTGACTGTGAAGGACAAGGTCTTTTAAAGAGGTTTTGCAGGAGATTTAGAAATGCTTTTCATGTAATTGTTTCTCAGTCCTTGGTTGTCACACTAATAAAATTAAGTAATCTCCCAGAATTGAGTTTAAAAAAATGTTGTCCTTCTGATTTGATTAAAGTAATGTTCATTTTAGAAAAAATTGCAAATTATATGGAAACATTAAGACAAATAATTGCACATAAGCCACCTACACAAAGATAATTACATTTAATAGCATTATTCCTTTCCAATTGCCACTGTTTATTATTTTGCATACTTGCGATCTTACTCTTTTGCTCTTTTATGCTTTGTTTCATTCAGTCAGCGTTACATTATGGATATTTGCCATGTCCTCACACCCTCTTGGTAAAGATTTTTAGCAGATGTATGAGTTGTAGCACTAGACCATCAGTATTTAATCTTTCTCCTGCTGTTAACTGTGTTTTCTCCACACTATTATTTTAAAACATTCTGTAATAAATTTGGGAAAGCTCAGTGAGCCAAAGAGTACATTACAGGCGGCCCCTCTCGGGAGGCCCACCCAGATGCAAGGGTCCAGCTTAGAAAACTCAAAGAAGCCTACTGATTGGCGTGAAGGCCCCTACACTGAGGAGCTTTGCCAAATAGCTATTCTTTCGTTCACTGGACTTTTCACCAAACTTTCCAAGGAGACCTGTGCTCAGCTCGGCAGGTGTTAATTGAGTACCTACTGCAATCTCTAGTGCTGCAGGGAGGAGTGAAGTCCAGCCCCAAGGTCCAGGAGCAGCTGTTGCAGAGGGGAGAACGAGGCGGGCATGAGGTCATCATTTTCAACACAAGGCAGAAAGTGATGGTGGCCTTGGCTGCATGAGTCTGTGAATAGACTAAACACTGAATCATACACTTAAAAAAAGAGAATTTGATGGTGGGCAAATTGTCTCTCAGTACAGCTCTTCTTAGAAGCGAAAAGAGAGCAAAAGAACTTTTTAGGAACAGCCTCCCTTTTTTGTGATGTAGCGCCATGCTCCTGCATACCTGGCCCTGAGTAGGTGTGCTGCTTAGAACTCTTGTTGTGGGTGAGGAAAGCCCGACTTTATGGTTTTTTTACAACTTAAGAAAACCTGAGGTGTGCTGTGTCCAGGCATGGCTGAATCCAGGGACTCTAATGATATCTTTGAAAGCAACTCCTGTGTTTCTCATCCCTAATTCCCTACGTGTCCAGCTTTGCTCTCTGGCTGGCTTCCTTCCGTGGCAGCACGATCACCCCCAGCAGCTGCAGGTTTACACACTCCCAATTTAGAAACCAGTACGAAGAGCGTTTCAGCAAAAATCCTAAGGTCAGCTCTCACTGGGTCATAGGTCCATCCCGGAGCCAATCACATGACTGTGCTGTGCAAGGGGCATCTGCCGGTCCCTCCTGGTGCAAAGGGGGAGATGAGGTCATCCCCGACAACCACATGCAGTAGAGAAGTGTATCCTCGAAGGACATCAGAGGCTATTAAAGCCACAGTAGACGACGGCTCTGATCGCAGGTATCCATAAAAGCAGGTATTTGGGAAATGCTAAATTCAAGGAAGAAACCATGGACGCCAGGGCATGAAGAGAAAGGGAAGAACAGGTCCAGATCCGATGTGGAGGAGGGGAGCCGGGGTGGCACATAGGTTCAACGTTGGCAGAGAGGAACTAGGCCTCTGGGAAATGCAGG